AACCCTGCACCCAAACCCAAAACCCTAGCTACACCTTCAAGCTCCCGTAGGTCGCGGAGACCGGAACCCACGCTGAGCTGATGCAGGCGAAGGCCACAGAGGTTTGTTTTTGCTTCGAAATTTGGGGTTCAGGGTTTATAGTAGTAGTAGTAGTAGTAGTAGTAGCAGGAGTAGTAGTAGTAGTAGTAGTAGTAGTAGTGGTGGTGTACACCCCAAAACCCAAGTTGCAATCGCGTTGAGAATCCGGTTTGGACCCACAGATGAGGACTTCTGGTTCAGCATGTGGCACTTCGCATCGTGAAATTGAGCGAAGCGCTCAACCACGAATCCTCGTACCCAATCCCTAAACCCTAAAATCCAAAACCTAAACACTAAAGGCTGCCGTGCACTCTTGTCGCATCGCAGGGCGTCTACTACAAGCTCCAACGTGGTCAGAAGGAGTGAGTGAGGCCTTACCCAGCGGGTATCACCGTCATCATCACAGAATTGAAAAGAAGAATTATGATGCTCACCATGACGACATCTTTGCATATTGCATTTGGGGGCCACGGCTGGGTATATTTCGGCCGCATACACACCTCATCCAGTATGTGATGGGCCAACGGCTGTCCGAAGGATGCCAGGGCCTCATCGTTTAGGTAGGATTTTAGAGTTTGGTATTCGGGTTGCTTGGAACCCGGATGTAGGGACGCATTCGCCGTCGCAGTCCGAGACGCATCAACTAATCTCCGTTGTCGTTGAAGCTGATGCATTTTGGCCACTTTGTACCTTTCCCGGTTCTACCCTTGGACCATTTGACCTGCATTTGGCTGGAATTTTGAAGAATTATGGGCTCTTGTGTCTGTGTTGGGGCTCCGGAAAAGGGAATCCCACCATTGAGGTTCGAGATTGCTGCTCTTCGGGCAGGGCGGCACCCTGTGTGATGAGGGGAATGTGGATGACTAGCAGTATTTCCCCATACAGTCCCCAAGTTGTACCAGCATCCACCGATACACCTCCAACAATGATTAAGGCCCCAACCCCGACTCAAAGCAGATTTCACATCGGTGTGCAGGTGATGATGACATGATGATGATGATGGTGATGATGATGCTTGAAGGAAAGCTTGAAACAGCACCCTCTTGATTGCCATGCTGGGATGTTCACCGTTTCGAAGCCTGACCGTTGAGGTTTCGTTTGGCGTCAGAACTGCGACTGCGATGCGTGCGCTCCTTTCGTGTCTCGAACCTAGGGGGGCCCACTACTCGGGAGGCTTGATAAGATAGACTTGGTTTGCTTCGGTCGCACACGAGGGACTTTCACGGAATGATCTACTATTCGGACATTCTATACTGATACTGCAATGCAGTACAGAATGATATGATGTAGTGTAATACAATATAACATAATGTACTGAAATATATATATATATATATAATAATGTACTACAATTATAAAATAATGTGATGTCATGTAATGCAATATAATATCATATGGTGGCTGCTAGTCCGCTACTAGTAGTTGTTGGGGCGCCAACAAGCAGCCTCTGAGGAAAAGCTACCTATTCGCACGGAAAATACGCCCCTTTCAGCCCCCACAAAGACTGCCCTGGGCCGTAAGGGTTTTGGGTTTAGGGTTTAGGGTTTATGGTTCAGGGTTTAGGGTTTAGGGTTTAGAGCGCAAAGAAGCCAGTGAGCCCAACACCCTGGCACAGAAAGCTGGTGCTTGCACCCCCGAAGCCTTTCATGCTAAACGCGGAATCTGGGACACGCCGGGCCCCAAACAATATAACAAGGGCAATGCCATCACTGGTATAAGGAATTCCGCTACTACTGACTGAGGACCCTTCGCCCTTTGGACGCCGTGATTTGGGGCTTTCGGGTGTAGGGCTGATGGTGTATGTCGTGTTTTGGGTTAATGGACTGAAGGTTTCAGGCTTACTTGGAGGGTCATGGGTAGTTATAAGTGGGGTTATAAGTCCCTAAGTAGGGTATAGTTACCCTACTTATAGCCCTACTTATAATTACCCATGAACCTCCAAGTACCATGCTGCGCAGGCCCATCATTATTCCACTTTTTCTGAGCTTGTGGAGTGCCTCTGGCTGGAGACACGACTGTTCCTCTTTTTTGAACTGTTTCGCTGATCTTCCCAAAGGAAGTCAGGTGCAGGAAGCTCCTAAGGGCCTTCGGGGGCCTTGATGTGGTGACGACATCACGAGGACCCAATGGGGGGGGGGGGTAGCCTGCACATGAACCGGAAACCCCAACCTCCAAGACCCGAGTTTAAGGTTTAGGGGTTTAGGGGTTTAAGGTTTGGGGTTTAGGGTTTAGGGGTTAAGGTTAGGGTTAGGAGCTTCAATCCTTCGGATACCGTTGCTATCCTCAAGCACAGTCCCCCTGGCCCAGCCTTCTTCTCGAATCGTAAACGCCTCGGGTCGTCCGCCCAGGTTCAGTAAACCCTAAAACCCCAAAACCCTAAACCCTAAACCCTAACCCCAAAACCCTAAACCCTAAACCCCAAAACCCTAAACCCCAAAACCCTAAACCCTAAACCCTAAAGGGCGTGGTGCAGTGGAGGTCGAGGTCAGAATCTTTGCCTTTGAGTGGACTGTATTTAAATCTTGTGGTGACAAGTCATTCAGCAGACCTAAAATCGGCAGAATTCGAACAGCCCCAGGCCCTAAACCTAAACCTTTCACCCTAAACCCTAAACTATGAACAATTACAGAGGCCAACTTGGGCACCGAACAAGCCATCAAAGCTTAGACCAGTCCTGTGCCAATACAGCACGAAATCGGCTATTGTAGGTGCCTGCAAAATTCCCACTATCGTTCCGCATATTTATACGATGATAGACCCCAAAACCCGAAAGATAGAAGCACTGCCAACATCATTCCAGAACGCCCCAGTAATATGTTTACGCAAGAATGGGGCCGCGAGCCCGATTCTAATTATTTCGGCCCCCCTCCCCCGCAGGATCTGCGTGAGCAGGCCAGGGCCTCTCGGGAAGCCTTTTGTCTTGACGATTCTAGGTGTCTTCGGGCCTGGCTGTAGGGTTTAGGCTTTAGGGTTTGGGGTTTAGGGTTTAGGAATTTAGGGTTTAGGGCTGTATTCTCAGACTTGGAAGTTTATCCGTCTGTGTAACTGGGTAGAAGGTAGCTCGAAGTCATCAGCTATGCTGCTCGTGGTGGCTCCAGTCATGGTACATATAACTTCTGTCCCAGTCTGTGTCTACCCACTTCAAGCAACAGTTCATTGCAACAGGACTATTGCTTATGAGGCAAACTCTACGTGCCAAAATGTTGATCAATCCAGAGAGCCCAATACCCCTTAATTACAGAATATACCTTAAACTATAAATGTGACTTCATATCATGATTGAAGCTATATTGCGTAATGAAGAGGGTACTGGGCTCTCTGGGCAACCCTAAACCCTAAACCCCAAACCGTGGTTTTCCGAGTCGGAAGAGGGGCCCAGAGCCTACAAGGCCTTTGCTATGTTGGATCTAGGAGTTTTGGGGGATTTAGGGGGTGTAGCGGATTTAGGGGATTTGGGGGATTAGGGGGTTTAGGGGGTTTCGGGGTTTAGGGGTTTGAGGTTTAGGGTTTAGGGCTTAGGAGCCAAACTGTGATGCTTCAACCGTCCGAAACACGCCCCAAGCCTCCTGATTGTGTATTTCGAGACATCTTCCGGTACTGTCATGGTACAGGTCCTAGAACCCCGTTAACAATCCCTGTAGTCCATCCCAGCCCTGCTCACTACATCACAAGAGCGTCCAACTAAACCCTTTTAGCACCGCACGAAGCCCCTATAAACCCTACCAAAAAGTGTCCGAGTAGAGTGTTTACACGGGGATACTGGGATTTCAGTCCAGAGCTTGCAGCTCGAGCCCATTTGGGGGTTTCGGGGCTTTCTTTGTTTAGGTTCTAGTTTAGGGTCGTGGGTGTGACTGCCGGCAGGGCAACAAGAAACCCGACTTGCGCTCAGCACGTGGCGGGAGCACCCACGCCATCCACTATGTACAGCCACCCGGCCTTCTAGAGATTCAGCGTTGGGTGTTGATCATGGCTTTCTGCCGGACGTGTGCAGTTGCTCCTGCTCTTCTCCGACTTCTGCATCCACTCGCTGCCTACTAGTGAAGTGGTAGTGGTGGTGGTAGTAGTAGTAGTCGTCGTCGTCGTAGTAGTAGTATTATGACCACGGATTAGGCAGAAAGAGGGTGGCCGATTCCAGAGGTCGTGTGCGTATTTTACCAATATGTTTCCAATGTTGGTTCTGCATATTTTCTCAATATTTTTTGAGGGGCCTTTGAAGGGCCAATATTTTCCCAATATGTTGTTGACGGTCGGCATCCATTCGAACATGTTCTGAAGACTGTGGTTCGAGCAGTTCGGGCAGTCACTACTTGATCCCTGGTGCAGATGTTGAACATGTGTAGATTTGTGTAATTTGTGTAAGTGCCGTCACTAGGCCCAGGATCCGTGGCGGCTTTCTAGCTGCGGCAATGGCTGATGAATGGCAGATGCTGGTTAACAGCATGCTGCAGGAGCCGGAGCCGTCGACATGTGACGGTGACAGGTCACGGACTTGCACAGAGGTCAGTGATGACTCTTCCAGTAGCCTGCCTCCTTCGCAGAACATGAAAACAACATCATGGTGGGCCCAACTTCTGAAGTCTCACACCGAGCATGCCAGAGCTGTTGCGGTCAACGAGCAGTCGGATATGATCAGCATTGTCTCCGGTTGCACTGGTTCTTTTGCTGAGGCAGAAGTTTTGAAAGTGTCTTGTCAGCACGTGCTGAACGTTTGATACAATGTGTCTTTCGCCGGTACACTTGCCCCGAAACCCTCAACCCTAAACATATGTCTTTGTGGTTGCATTCGAACACGTGCTGAAGGTTTGATTCCAGATTGTGGTGTGCAGTGCTCAAGACAGTGTGTACAAACGTTTCTTGCTCCGGTACACTTGCCCCGAAACCCTCAACCCTAAACGTGTGTCTTTGTCGTTGCACTCCAACACGAGTGTATGAGTATGTCTCTGTGGCTACATTCAAAACACGAACAGGTGTTGCTGCTGCGCTTGATGGGAAAATCCTGCAATGTCAGTAATGTGATTACACTACTGTAATATTCTTTATGGCTTGAATGACTTAGAGGCAAGGCAGGATATTTCCATCAGGCGTATGACATGTTGCATTGGGTGGAATGCTTGGCCCGATTTGGATGCTGGGGTGAGTTTTAGATGCTCGGGTGACCTAGTAAGGCCGTCCTGATCAACTGGATCAACTGGATTTGGGGAGTATAGGTAGAAGGATGACTGAGGCTCAGGTAAATCAGGCAGGTCAGTATTTCCCAGAAACATGGTCTATGTCGAGTCTATGTCAGTCTACATTCCAGACTTAGCTGCTAAGGCTTTGGGCATCCGCTTTTACTGTGTGGGCGCTTCGGAGTCATGCTCTGCCTACAGAGACGTCATTGTAGCAAACAGTGGCAAGAAAGTCACGGGCGGCAAGGGTCACATCGAGCACTTGTACGACAGTTTGGAAAGCATGCTGCTCGAGAAGACGTGTGTCTTGCACCAGGCCCAGGTGCAGGGGTCAGGACAGTGCGCCTGTTCCCTAAGACGTGGGGAGGTTAACCTCGGGGTGACGGGCTCGCCTTGCAACCCCTTCTCACTTCGCCGCACCAAGAGGTTTGCCGACGGCAGTGTTGCCGCGCATTCAATGAGCGATACAACCTTTGAATCCGTTGTAGGCTTCTACCAGCGATATGAGCCACGTGTTGGTGTGTCGGAGCAAGTTTTGGGTTTCGACATGAAGACCTCCTCTTCCGACCCCACGACGCCATACCAGAGGCAGGGTCGACTGTTTCATGTTCTGATCAACTTCGGTTCGGAATGTGACATCCAGAATGTAGAAGAATCTAGCAGCTACGCAACAGCGCACGTTGCTTGGTGCAGGTTCATGGAGAGAATCGGCGACTGTCGGTGGTGTCATGGCGGCTACTGGGTGGCTAAAATCAGGCTGGATGCTTGCATCTGGGTCAAGATCAGCCGGCCAAGGCGGGCTGTTTACATTCATGTCTGCTGCTACATGGACCAATAGCTCAGTATGTTGAAGATGTTGTGCGTTTGCTACAATGTACGTAGAGTACTGACAACCATTACCTGCCTTCCTGAAGCTCAGACAATAGCAGTTGCGATGAACGACGACAGTTTGTAAACCCTAAACCCTAAACCCTAAAGCCTAAACCCCTAAACCCTAAACCCTAAACCCCTAAACCCTAAACCCCCAAAGCCCCAAAGCCCCAAAGCCCTAAACCCCAAAGACAGCGACCAGTCTGCTAGCCGAGCGTGAAGCCTTCCTGAAGCTCAGACAATAGCAGGTGCGATGAACCACGACAGTTTGCATGTCAGCGTCATTGTCCAATCTTGCCAGTCCTGCCTGTTAGATGTTGACCGTTGCTAGCTAGCCTTCAATCAGGTACCAGCTAACCACTTAGCTGGATCAGAGTATTTCAGCTCGTCATAGCCTCATGGCCTGCTGCACAGACAGAACAGTCCATGGCTGAAGATCCCGAGTGGGCCAATCTTCTTTCCGAGTTGGCGTCAGCTGGTCAGCCAGCGGTTGAAAATCATCCCGAAAGCGGGCCGGAGGTTACTGAGGATGATGCATGGCAGCTCATGCTACAAGGCATGCTCCCGGAGTCAGAGGATGACCTACCAGATCCCGCAGCTCAGGTCCCGATGGATGCCGGAGCTGGCATAGTTGTGCGTGACGGCATGTATGGAGCTCCAGACATGCTGCGCAGCTTGGGGACCCAATTTCATCGCCGGGTGTCTGAGAGATTTCTGGCGACGGCCAACACATGGACACGTGGCCAAGCTCGGGCACCGTTGTCAGTTTCGGCTGTTTTAGACGAAGTGGTACGTAATCCGCGGATGGCTTCGAGGGCATCCATGGCAGCCACCGTGCGGGTGCCGGAGGCGACATTGAAGGAGGCAATCCTTCAAATGGCATGCAGCCTGCTGTATGCTTCTGCATTGCTCGTCGGAGCATTCATTTGTAGCTGGATGTCATTGTTCCGTGTCAGACCTCAGCGCTTTGCGCCCATAGCCGTGATATCTCGCTTCACCTACGATGAGACCCCGTTGAAATTGCGTCTGCAAGAGCATCGTGCGGCTTTTCAGGTGGAGGCCGGCGCAGACACAAACTTCAGGGGTCTTGTCAAGACTGGTGAAGAGACCTATGTGCATTCAAAGATCTTGAATGTGGATTGGCGAATGGGCTTCTCAGGCTGATATGGCAATGCTGCTCTTGTCTTGGGCGCTGCTCCGTTACGCCGTTGTAGTCGTCTCTAGTAATACTAATCTATCCTGGGCGCATAGAAGTATACCGTTTTGCCGGCTTGGTCTTTCGCATTGAAGCACTCTGCGATCAGGTTTATTGGTTCGGGACTGCTGCAAAGATTCATACTGCCTCATCTCTGTGGACATGCCTGCGCCGTTGAGTTCCCTGGATGCGAACACAGGTGAGAACGAGTTCAAGGCTCTTTCTTTGATCGAGGAACGAATTCCGGAGCTGCGGGCTTTGAAAGACGCTTGCCCGCTGTCCATTCGCATGGCTGTGATGGACAGCTTCGGAGCTAACTTTCGCGTGGAGCGGGCGCATGCCTCCCTGCATCCGAAGCAGAAGAATCTCATCCTAGCCTGCTCTGTGCACAAGACAGCCACATGCAACAAAAAGTCCATGGAGATTGCTCCAGGTCTGGTCAGTGGGGTAGTCCAGGTGGGACTTGCTCTGCGGGATACTGGCAGTGTCGGTCGCATGCAGGGCCTGCTGCAAGAGATTTTCTGGAATGATCTGGAGATTGTTTGCGAGCCGGAGCCTGCTGGCGAGGCTTCCCAAATGAGAGAGCAGCTCCTTGATTTGTATTGCCCCCTACGGATTGGTGGGCAACTGTCTGTGCAGAACGCGCGACGCCAGTATATCCTACGCTCTATGGCTAACAGTGACTGGAGCAGCGCCTCTATCCGGCACCACTGCACCTTCTCCTGCTGCTCCAGCCCGGAGGACACCAGGAGGGTCTTCATGACCCTCGTGACGTGGGCCTTAATCCCCCACAACTGTCCCATCCTGCAACGCAAGAATTGGACAGGAGGAGAAAGGGCGTACACTTGGCTGGGGTTGCTCTCGAACTGCTGGGGTTTGGCTGCCAGGATTTTCTCCAAGATCCGTGGAGGTCCCACGGGTGAGCCGTCAGCCAGCACTGAGTGCGATCAGGAGGAGCAAGAGCCGTGGGCTGACTTTTTCGCAGACATGCTGCGCGACCGAGCGACTGCAGAGGCGCAGGCTTTGGACAAAGCAATGGAAGAACCTGCGGAGCCAAACCAATCCGCAGAAACCTTTGCCGAGGAAAACCACAGGAATCGGCAGACGGCCTGCCAGTTCGTGGCTGCTCTGAGTCTTGAACCTGAGATCCTTACTGTGGCACGACAGGCCATGAATCCGGGGCTACGTTTGTTGCAGGGTCAGCTGGAGATGGCCGGTGAAGAGTGGGAAGCTCGACAGCAGACTCACGCTGCGACGCAGGGGCACCGGCTCTACAGGGTGCTTCAAGCAGCACGTGGGACACTGGTGAACACCGCCTTGCAGGAAGCTTTGCAAATGCTCTGGAACTTGCCTTTGGGGATTCCATCCAAAGCCTACAGACGTCGTCTCCGGACACTGTTGTTCAGCTTTCTTGGAACGTTTGTGGCCAAAGTGCATTTCTACTTGCGGCGAGCGCACAATGGCTTCCCATATCAATTGTTTTGCGTGCTGCTTTCATCCGAGGAATGTGCTCGGGTCTACAGAATTCCCAAGTGTTTCCGGGATGACCTGGCAGCAGCTTTTTTCGAGCGCTATCCAGAGCCTGCTGACGGGATGACTGATGAGGCGCAAGCTCTACTGGAAGGAGTTGCTTTGATGAGCTGCGTTGATGTCAGCACCCTGGAATCATCACACAGCACAATTCGTGAATGGACCCAGATGCGAGGGCGTGGACACACACCCTCATTTGTGGATGTGTCTGCTCAGAGCTTTTGCAGATGGGTGGGCACGCGGTACGATGGAATGACTGGCCAGAAATTCGCGGAGCAGAGACGTGCCGCCAAAGAAGCAGACAAGGCAGAGAAGGAAAGCAAGAAGAGCCGCCGTGGGTCCAGCAGTGGTGGCGGTTACAAATCTTTCGTTTCTAGTCGTTGTCAAGGACAGAAGCTTTCGCGCGAGCTTTGCGCCAGACTGTCGCAAGAGTATCGGAATCTCAGCGAGGACGAGTTTCAGCATTTCCAGGAAGTGGGACGTGCCGCCACGTTGGCTTCCCGCATGGGTGCTTGGCCTGCTAGGCTTATACTTGGTTGTGCTTTGCAGCTGATGGTAACTACTAGCTACGGCTAGCACGAATCATGTATGAATTGATGACTGTATGACGGTTGTTTTGTTTATTGCTTCTCCTCTCTTCAAAGCACCCGAGGTGTCACGAAGCCTTACAAGCTGCAGGGCACGCTGCAGGTAGCGGATCCTGCCTCTGAAATGGCCTTGGTGGCACACACTGGCATGGATTGGGGGCAGGTAGAGAGATTTGTGCCAGGCCAGTCGTTTCAAGAGCGAGAAAGGTTTTTCAGCCGGCAAGTGCGGTCCGAGACTGCACAAGCTCGCAAGCAGCGTGTTGCGGATGCAGCCGTGCAAGAGAGACCACAACAGGACATCCAGCAGATGAATCCTACTGTGGCTGCGGCTTTGCGCGTGCATGGCGGATCTGGTCTTCTCGCCAAATGCACGCAGGTGGCCGACGTGCGATCACCGCGGCGTTCTGTGCAGCATGTGTTCTGGCGTCCGCCAGCAACGCAAATGGCAGAGGCCCGTGTTTTTTTTTCCGAAACAGGAATCTGGTTTGCGTCGAAGCAGAGTCCAGGACTTTGGCATTTGGGTCCATTGTAGTTCCTTGTCTGGCCTAGCCGTGCAGGTGACAATGAGTTCCTCCTATGCAGAGGGCCGCCAGGTTCGCAAGCATGAGCTTGTGCAGGAGTGGCAGCGCCTGCACGCGACTATCCGCAACAAAGACCAGCCGCGGTTGCAGACCAGTGCAGAGGCTTACAAGGGACTGAAAGAGTGTGGTCTCCGTGGGGTTTGTGTCTGCAGCGAAGAGGCCCGGCCGCTCAGACTCTTCTGCAAGAAGCTAGCCAGCCACCTGAGACAAGTCTTCAAGCAGGGTAAGAATGCGCCGACGAATCCGCTGCGAACTGTTTTGTCAGAAGGCAGAGCCGTTCTCCGCTTCAGACGTGCAGGCGCCCTCGATGCTTTCTTCTTCCTTGGGCATGTCAATTTCAGAACCTGGGAGTTTGCCGGCGTGCGACTTCATTTTGATGGCATGCCTCAGGGCCAGACTTTGCGACTGAAGGTGGGGATCCCTGGCCACGCGGAGGAGGATGATTCAAGCACTTGGCTCAGCGAGATACAAACTCGTGAAGAGTTCGTCAAGTCTTGCCTGGACTTGCAGCAGCCATGTCACGTGGGCGTGTGCGGTATCCTACGAGACTCGAAGGAGCTGCTGATGGATGACATGCCTGCCCGCATTGTTGAGGTTGAAGTCCTTCGAGCAGACATCCTGCAATGGCGAGCCCTAGACCCGTACCGTCGGCGACAGGACCTGGGTGCTCGCCGCGAAGAAAGACCCAGGCGTCGGCCTGAACCCGGCGCCGTGCTCTTGGATGACGAGGAGGCCGAGGCTTCAGACCACCGCAGCGGGAGCGAAGACGAAGTGAATGCCGATGCCGGCGGCGTGGGTTCCGTGGATTTTGGGTCAGGCGAGTCTGACGAGGAGGACGAAGGGGAGGCAGCTGAGCAGGATCGTTTGGATTCATTGTTGGACGCGCTCCTGGAAGCTGCCGCGTCGGCCGAGGCAGACCAGGAGATTGGCGATCCAGCGGGCCCCGAGGACGCAGTCCCGCATGTGGCCCCAGAGATGGCTGCGGAGATGCGCTCAATGAGGCGGCTGTTGAGGCTGCGGAAGCGGACGCCCGGTTTGCTGCGGCTGGCGATGGTGATGGCGAGGCCGTTCCGGCAGCACGCCCAGCGCCTGCAGCAGGTGAAGGGCGGGCAGAGCGGGCAGCAGAGGCAGTTCCACGACGACCCAAGAACCCCGAAGATATCTTCTACTTGCCAGCCCCCCTCAATGGTTGCAGTCTGCGTTACAACAGGAAAGGTTTCATCCGAGCACACTGTTGCAATCCTGCGCACGGCACATGCACGAGGCAGCGGCAGACACTGCAAGGCAAGCGTGGGGGCGCTGCGTCTGGCAAGCCCATTGGGCATCTTCTGGCATGGCTAGCAGAGGCTGGCGATCATGCCAACCACATTTCTCATGTGGAGGCTTTGCCGGCCTCGCAAGCAGACAGACAGTCTCAGCGAGATTGGTTCTTGGCCTTGGACGGAGGTAGAAAGTTCGCCGAGCATGAGCTTCCGCCAGAGGACGGTGCCGAGATCAACGAAGTAGAGCCGCGATTTGTAGCGTGAGCTTCGCAGCCAGTGTGTTGGTGCCTAGCAGTACATGCAGGCATGCTCTCGAACACTGTCCATTGCGAAAAGACATCAAATTTGTTTGCTCGGCCTGTTCCGGTGCTTGCTCCATGACAGTAGGTTAGATCATTGGTCGCAAAGACTCACTCCTGCATCTGGGCAGTGGCTACGTGCGTGTGGCTCGCATTGTTGGCAGGCTCTACATTTGCTTCTTTCGCAAGGACGTGTTCGCCAGGGCAGATGTGGTTGCTTTCAAGTCTATGGTGCAGGAGAAGTGTGTTGCAGGTGTCGCAATGAATCATTCGGGCTTGTTTCCAAGGTTTGCAGCAGGTTCGGATACGCAAGTCGGAAGCCGAGCTAGCAGCTGCTACCTGCTATCTGCCATCAGAAACAAGCAGCCTCTTGAGTCCAGTCACTGTCACCTGCGACAACAGTTAACAGTTAGAGACAAGAAGTGCGTATATCAGCCATACCATATCAGATATATCTGCCATACCTGCCATACCAGCCATAGCTCACGCACCCTGTGGTTTGCCTCGCCCCAGGACATTGTTCAAAAGCAAGCGGAACATGGGCCCCGCGAGATTGAGAGCCTGCTCCTGGGTGAGAATGGGGCGGATTACAAGGAGGAGCTACGGAAGTGGAATGATGGTTCAAGCTCCCGTGCACAGCACACGCAGGACGGGCGAGAGTAAAGCGGTCACCTTGACAGAACCTTTTTGGGGGGACGCGGCGGGGCATCATGAGCATCAGCCGGCGGGCCGAGCCCAGAGATTGGGAAAATATGCAGAGAGGCGGGATCGAGCCCAGAAATATTGGGAAAATATGCAGATGGCGGGGACCGAGCCGAGAAATATTGGGAAAATATGCAGACCCGCCGGACCCAGCCCAGAAATATTGGGAAAATATGCAGACCCGCGGGAACGAGAAATATTGGCAAAATATGCAAAAACCCTAGGGTTTCTGCATATTTTGCCAATATTTTTCCAATATTTGGTGCTGCACATTTTCCCAATCTTTTGGGCAGTCCTCCTCCCTTTTCCCTGCCCTCTCCTCCCTCCCTCCGCTCCGCTCCGCTCCGCTCC